ACCGGATTGGACTGGTCTAATCCATTGTCTTATTGGACTGTTCAACTTAGACCGGATTGGACTGATCCAATCCACTGTCTTATTCGATTGTTCAACTATGATACCGAAAAAAAGAAACCTAAAACCAAATCACCAATCAACCAATATCATAAAACTGGTATCCAATCAGATGATATTTATCAAAATTCATGGGAGGGTTTGATTGGTCAAAGCCCTTCTAGTATCATGTCTTTCCGATAACATGGATTTTCCCCAAGGAAAAAATATTTAATTTCAACTTAAAAATATATCAAATCTATTAGAATTTATAAAATACATAAATATGACAGAACCATTGGCATTCCAAGAAATATCCAAACAGAACCATTGAATAATCAAACATAAATATTCAAGATATTCCAAGAAATATTCAGACTATAGCAAACAAATATTCAAACAGAACCATGTATTGTTGTCTACAATTAAAATTATGAGAGTATCTACCAAACTCTGTGCTAGGTTCTAATGACAAAGGATACCTCAATGAACAAATCGTAGAGGTCAGAGGAGACTTTCACTTGAGAGCAAGATGCAAGAGAAAAAAATCACCAAAATATGATTGCCTGAGTGAAGAGGGAGTGTTGTTGCCGCTGGAGAAAGTGAGAGGGCATTAAGAGAAGAGAGAGTGTTGTACTACTGTCACTAGAGAAGGTGAGGAGGCGCTGAGAGAAGAAGAAGCTCTGTTATTGGAGAAAGTGAGAGGGCAAAAGGAAGATCGCCAGAGAAAGGGAAATACGGCCGGAGTTCATCCAAAGCTTCAAACGAAATACCGCCATCCGCCGGTGAGATTGAGGATGGAGCGATGGAGGCGCAGAGACGCTGAACCCTAACCTTCAAGCTTCGACTCTTTGAAAGCTTCTATGCTTGATGCTCACGAAAATGAACAGACCATTCGAACTAGTGGCTTTGTCCACTTTCGGTCCATTCTATGAATGGACGATTTATGTTCGGACCGGTCCGCGTCCATATCATTTTTTAGGACCGTCCGATCCGTCCATATTACTTTCGATTCGGACGGTGTCCAACCCGAAACCGGTCCATTGACACCCCTACTTGTGGTAGAGGCTGCAACCACAATCCATCCCCTTCACTAAATATTTCCTCAAACACCTCCAATGTCTTCACCCAATGAGATCCATTCACAGATATATTTTTCAATGATTGCCTCCCTAGTCTGCATCTTCTCCTGGAATATTCTATTATTCCCTTCTTCCCAAATTACCCAAATCACAGTTGTTTTACTGGATTTATGATGGATCGCAGTCTCACCACTAGCATTACAAAGGATACAAATATGTAGGGAAAAGCACCAATTAGGCCTTCTCCTTTGGAGCATATCACGAGTATTGATCCTATTTACTTTAAAGCCACTTCCCAGCATTAAAGCCCTAATTTTAGGTGACTTACCCCAAACTTCTTTCACCGTAAAGGACAGGCTAAGGCTTTGAGGCTATATAAGAATGTTGCAAAAGGAAGCACAAGAGAAACATTCTGGAGGGAGGACACCACAATGAATGGTCCAAATAAGAGAAATCTAGGAAGACACTACGAAAAAACAAAAAAGACAAAATCAACCACAGAAGAAAGCACCCATTCCCTTAGGTCTCTTTTAAAAATTGGGAGACAGCATAGAAATAGATCTTCATGTATAATTGGGAAAGGGAATAGAAGTTAACAATCCTTAAGACAATTTATCAAAAAAAAAAAGGCAATCTTTAAGACAAGTGTCCCCCATATCCAAATGACTTCCCAGAACAACATTTCATTGTGATTACAAACATCATACCTAATATGACTGAGGAAGAGAGGAAGTATGCCAGGAATTGCTTTGTAAGGTTATGTGAAGATAGCCAGCCATAGGAGCCAAGTTAGCATCCAAGCCATTAGCCATCGAACCATGAATGCTTTTAATAGCTTTGCTACAACATGTCTTGCTCCAAAGTGAGCCTTCATAACCACTTCTCCAACAGTGCAATGTTCCTCTTTTCTACATTCCTAATCCCAAGGTCTTCCTTTTCCTTACTCTAGTCACTCATCCCTCATTTCACTTGGTGGTTTTTCCTAGTGTCTCATGGTCCCACAAACTCACACATAATTTTCTCCATTTCCTATGCAAATTTCCTAGAGATATGGAAGGTAAACAAAAATACATTGGTGACTTGACCATTATGGATTTAGTCAATGTAATTCTTCCTCCTAGTGAGATATAATTCATTTTCCACAAGGCAACATTCTTGGTAAATCTCTTTAAAATAGGTTGCAGGAACCTTCACTTGGGTTTCTGCCTAGTGGTAACCTTAGATAGTTCATAGGCCAAATACTCACCCAACATCCTAACATGGTGGCTAACCTGCTAATTTCCTATTCCAGCTTAATAACTCCCTCCATACAGCTCTTGTTCCAATTGACCTTAACTTTGACATCCTCTCAAACTGTTGAATCACACCCTAAAGATTTCTTATCTCCTCCTCTCTTCCACCCTCACAAAAGAGAATTATATCATTTGCAAATTGTAAATGTATTACCACCACTTCTTACCATCCTATTCTCCACATTGATAAAGTTCCCCCTATCTGCCAATATTATCAATCTACTAAAGATATCAACCATAAGGGCAAAAAAGAGAGACAAAGGATCCCCTTGCCTTAAACCTCTTTTTACCAGAAAGAAGTCTTCAACAACACCATTCACAAAAACAGAGTAGTGGCAAAAGGATAGACAACCCATAATATCAAAAAACAACCCATAACCTATTTGCACCATCTTTATCCAAATCCACACTCTCATTACCTCCACCAAAAAGGACAAATCCACCATATCATATGCCTTCTCTAAACCCAGCTTATCGACCAATCCCTTCTCTACATTTTTCTTCTCTTGTATTCCACACATTTAGTTGAAATTAGAATATGGTCAATGATCTGCCTTCCCTGAATAAAGGCCGCTTGGAATTGAGTGGTGATGATAGGTAGAACCTTTTTTTTTAAGATAGATTGGTAGGACCTTTTTATCCTCTCATTAAGAGAACCTTGCCTAAGATATACATATTACTCATAAGTGCTAAATTGCTAATCACCCATTTATCTCTTGCGCCTTTCTTATAGTATGGAATCACTTTTTCAACCTTTTTGACAAATTTGGCAATATTCCCAACTTGGTGGTATTATTATTTTATTACCATGTTATTCAAGTTCAGACCAAACAAGAGAAGATTCCTGGCATTGAACAACACATGTGCAGTTTTTTTTTATTATTTGACATGAATAAAATGCTACTCTTCAAAACAAGAAACAGATGTGGAGGATGTGATGAATTTGATTAAGATAAAGGTGGGACTTTCGGCTTTAACCAAAGATAATCTAAAGGATACACCATTAGTTCTTTATTCAGAAATTTGAAGATGGTCCACTATTGCTGCCTTCACAAAGGCTACAAACAATCCAATTCTGGATAGCCCCAGAAGGTATTAATTGAACATTGACACTCACAGCCTCGGAAACTCAAGAGGCAAAAATAGATGACAATGGACTATTCTCAGTTTCTCAGGCCTGGTTGGAGAACACAATTCCTTGAAAGCTGAGACGTTAGCTACTTAGCTCTCCTTCAAGGCCTTAAGATTGAACTCCTCTTTCAACGATTCAACCATTCATGACTCCAACAATCTTAGGCCTTAAGCTCCAAGATATTTGATTAGAGAAGCAAAGTTCTGCAGGAACCAACATGAACCACTAGTTGAAGTGGACCCCTAGAACTGCTAAATTACCTTTGGATTGGCAAGACTTGGGACCACAAGAGATGTTATTGTTTGGTAGAACCAGGTTCATTTTTAACAAAGTGTATTTGTATCGGTAATTTTATGGGGAGGCCACGGGCTGTGTAGTTTCTCTTTGTACTGATTCTCATTTCCACTTCATTTGAAATGAAGTTTCTACTTTTCCATCACCAATGTATTCATTTTCAGTTAATCATCAAAACAAAAATCAAATATAAAAAGAAAAACTTGGTAGGCTCAAATAACCAGATTCCAAACCTTTCTTCCACTAAATTATTTATAATTCGATGTAACAAAGTATGCTTCAATTTCAATGGAAAGATCATCTAAAAACAACAGTATACATAAAAGCATTAAGCAGCATACTATCTCAATGGGAAAGAAACAAAAAGGCAAACAGTTCAGATTTTCCTGTACACACATTGTCATCTTCGTGACAACTCCAAGAAATTCTACATGAAATACAAGGAAATCTGGTGCACCTGCAAAATAAGTCAAGGAACAAGCAGATTCCACTTGAAATACAACAAAGAAATGTGGTGTACCTGCAAAATAAGTCAAGGAACATAATTGACTAAATGATTTCACAAGATGTATATAGATAGTTTTTATTAAGAATTTACAAAGAATGAATACAGTGAGTGTGGAAGCACCCATTTTAACTGCTAGCCTTAGCTAGTCCTAGCTATACCTCATTACAATTCCTCGTCTTGGGCAACCAACTCAAATATAGACTTCTGGCAGTGCCCTGTTTGGCCAGCCCATCAGCCAAGAAGTAGGCAGACTCAGGGTCAAGCTAAAAACCACTTGTATCCACTCAACTAGATTGATGATTTCACATGATCCTCTAATACAATAAAAAGATAAAAACCAAAGAGACATGAAATCAACATTGAAAGCTTCAAACAATTGAGAACCATAGAGACAAATTTTATGAGAACCACTGCATGCCGGAATTACAAATGGACCCTGCATGTGATATTGATACAAAGACTCCAAACTAATTGACAAAGATTGTATCCAGTCAAATATATCAAAAAAAACAGGTTGTATTCAGTCAACAGAAACTGTAAGAAAAAAATTGATAGCTAACCGAGGTGCAGTCTCATGGGCCCATCATCACCTTTGCCACACAAACAAAAAAGAAAAGTAAAGAAAAGAAACTAAGCACATAATTAGGATACAAGAATGACAAAGCATAAATTGAATTTTTCACTGATTGATAATATTTCTAAGGCCTCGTACAGAGAGGTTACATCACTAAATTAGGCCACAAGAAAAAAAATATATATATATATAAAAACTAAGAAATAAAGTATGGGCTATCATGAGCCCCTGACAAAATTCTTCAAAAGAAATCATAATAGTCAATGTAGCTCCATAAGCACTGCAACATCAAAAACTGCAGGATTGAGATGCCTTCCTGCTGACAGGAAAAAAACGTTTCACCAGGTTCAACATCTCTATGTCGACCTGCAAAAGCACCCAAAGGAAAAAGGCGCTGTATACAAAAAAATCAAGAAGGTATTCGTCTTCTAGGTGCTACATCCCCGTCAAACTCCCGTATTCGAAATGACTTGGCATTTGCACCATGCTTCCAGTCTCGATCATATCTGAAATGACTTTTTTCTTCACGAGATCTCCTAGGTGCATCCCCAAGCCTGGCATCAATACTCCTGCCATAGTGCTTAGGACTACCTTTACCATGGAACTCAGTTGCATCCTTACTGTGCAGATTATGCCCAGCAAAACCATCTTCTGCATCATAATGAAACCGCTTCACAGAGCCCTCCGTATCATAACGTCTTACAGGATGCAACATCCCATATCTATCCATGTTTTTCCTTCTATCGTCTTCAGTTTCCTCATACCTAGGTCCTCTGCCAGCTCCAACCATTTCAGGAAACCTTCCTGGATGCATTGGTCTATAGTACTCATCTGGTTTCAACCTTCCTGTAGATCCCACTGAATCAAACCTATGACTCCGTGTGAAAATCCTTCCAGGAGATCTTCTTTCTGATATTGGGGCCCGCTGCTTGTAGCCATGGTCCCTAAAATGATCCACTGTGTCTTTCCTATCATCAATCCATCTCGAGGAGTTTGGTGGAGACCCACGACTTCTAGATGTTGTGATAAAACTAATTTCATGTTGTGTTGAGAACCCAGGCCGCCGGTGAGGGGACCTCCCTCTCTCCATTCTAGCATCAGACCTGAAATTTGGGGATCTACTGCGTTCTCTTAAACCCGGTCCACTGCCAACCCCACCACTATTTCTTCCCCTGGGAGATGATGACCAAACATGAGGAGAGCGAGTCCTAGATCTTGATGGAGATTTTGTGTGGGACCGGGAGAGATGATTGCTTTCTCTTCTTTGAACAGGAGAAAAACTTCGTTCCCTTCGAACTATAGAAGGTTCCATACGCAAAGAAGAATCATCAGGCCCAGACCTATGATATTTCTCCCTTGGACCTGTACCCACCAATCTTGGACCATATCTTCCAGACCTGCCCCTTCCAACACTAATGTTCCTAGCAGGGCTCATGTCTCCTACTGGACCAAGTCGCATATGCATACCAAAAGCATCTTCCCTGTCAGATGGTGATCCTCTTCTTATAAAAGATCGATGCACACCTTGTGAAGAAGCAATAACAGATTGTCTGCGCACCCGAACATTGGGTCCCAATCCACCAGCTTTCACAACTGTACCATCTGGAGCAACAACAAAGCCACTGCTCTCCACCTTTGCAGCAGCTGCTGCAGCAGCATTCTTTGGCCCAGAGTGTGCAAAGCTGGGAGAACGATGGCGATCTTGGGCCCAATGAGTGGAAGAATCAACCCAGCGATCACCGCCTCGCCCTCTTCCATGTACATGAAACAAAGATCCACCCCTTACAGTCAATTTAGCAGGACTTGGGTCCCTTTCAACTCTGGGATTTGAATGATCAGGGTTGTTGGATCTGAAAACAGAAGAAGTTGAGAGCAACCTATTAACTAATTTATCAATGACAAAGCCACAAAGAAGCATATGAAAAGAAACAGATAATATACCTGCTTTCCTGTATACATATTCTGTCCTTTCTAGGCAACCGATCAGAGGATGTAAGCCCCTCAATACGTGATGGAAACTCTCTCCTGGATTCTCCAGCATCAAGTCCATTAACACGAGAACTGGTAGAAATCAATTTAGAGCAGCCATCTCGGTTTTCCATAATCATATTTGCAGAGCCTTCATGATCTTCAGGTAACTGATCCCATCCAGACAATTTCAACCTTGAACTAAATGATTGCATTGATTCCTTCACAATATCTTTTCTGGAACAACGATCATTATCTGCCATAACCTTGTCAGCACCGGCACACAAGTCTTCATCAACTTCACCATCCATCTCGAACTTACAAATATCATCTTGTTCGGCTTGTCCTCGCAAGTGTTTTCTCACAATCACTGCACTCTTCTTACCAGTTCCTGCTTCCAGAATATTTGTCTTTGATGAACCTCTCATGCCAGGAAAACTATTGGGTTCTTGCATAATCTTCTCCTTTACTTGTTCTCCACTACAATCAACAGAATCATCAGCAGTGGATACATTTTTTTGGCATCCTGCACTCTGTTCAGCTTCTACAGACATGGAGACAGGATAATCAGCCCCTGAGTCAAAGCCATATGCATCTCTATCTGATCCATAATCAACATGCTCAGTTTCCCCTTCTTCACCAGCATCTTCATCCCATGCATGTAAAACAGACTCCCTGACTTCCCCATCCTCATACTGAGAATCATAACCTGCCTGAGGCTCGATCTCATTTCCCGTCCCAACTATGTGATCAGGATCATCATGAGATACATCTGAATCATAATCGACGTCATCAAAATGGTCTTCTTCTAAAGAAATCTTACCAGAACTATTTACAGGATCATCAGCATAGCTTTTGCAGTATTCACGAGAAGTTAAAACATCTGATGTGTCCTCCAACAGAGTAGACTGTCCTGACAACTTGGGTGTAAGCTTTTCAGACTCAAAATTGTCAGGAGAATTAACTTTTTTAGTATCCCCATCCTGAACCTTTGTATCAGCAGAAACTTCCGGTTTACTTTTTCCATCAGGTGGACAACAACTACACAACTCCTCACCATTATATGAAGATAAGGAGGTGTCCACTTTACATGAATTGTCATCAAGTTGCTTAGCATCTGTTTTCATCTCCTTTGAGGCATTTCCATCATCATGTGAATCATGACTTTTGACAGCACCCGCACAATCTTCAGTTGGACTATCATCAATCTCACAGGTAGCCTTCTCCGTGGTCACTGCATCAGAGAGAAAAACAGCATGCTTCTCAAGCTGAGAGGTCCTCAAGTAAAGGGATTCACGTTTTTGCACATCAGCATCCAATTCATCTCCTGTCTGCTCAGCAGAAGATGCCCTGGATGTGGTATCTTTTACATTCTCAGGAATTAGTGCAGGTGTATTAGCTTCAGGACAGACAGAAGTATTGATGCAACCATCCATTCTACAGACCTGATGAGACAAAAGGCCTTCACTACTCCCTGTATGAGAAAAGCCTACACTCTGGAGTAGGGTATTTTCATCTGCAACAGTACATGCATTTGGAGAAGAAAATTCCAGAACTTTATCAGCCGGAGCGGCAACAGATTCAGAAATGAAGCTAATACTTTCTTGATCAGGTAAGGGTTTTGTTTCTTCACCCAGGTCCACCAAGCTCTCTTGTTGAGTATTATGCATCTCAGAATGCATGACCATTTCCTCAGGGCATGTCCCTTTAAAACATCCATCCTGCTTAAGATCCTCAGTAGTTGTTTCATCAGGCCCAGTGGGCATGTTTTTAGAGTCTCCCAAGCTATAGATGTTGTCACCTGCAACACCATCAACCACATCCATAGGTTGAACCATCTTTCCAATGTCATTTTTGGTACTTCCAGGCTCCCTCTGCACATCACAACTTTCCAAGTGTTCCAGCTTTTCACAGTCTCTAACATCCTTGAAGACACTACCAACAACATTTTCCTCAGAACCCACAATGGGGTCATCAGAAGGTTTCTCCCATGCATCCATCACAGTATTCAAGTCCCAATGTGACCTATCATCACGTGAAGAAGACCCAACCTTTCTCTGTGCTCCATCAATATTGTTGCTTGGAAAGCCCGGAGAAACAGGTGAAGAATTAGATGTAGAAGAGTCCCCCATTTTCAGTCCACATGTGCTCTCCTTAGAATACGAATTGGCTGTCTGCAATGAGGCTGTAATTTCTTGTGAGGCAGTTCCTTTATTTGAAATTTCACTGCAGTTGATGGAATGGTCCTGGTGTGATTCTTTTGGCAAGAACAATGCAGAATTCAGCACCACTTGAGAAGGCCTTTCCCATGCAGAAGATTCTTCAAGCATCGATGAATCCTCTTCAGCATTACTAGAGCAACCTCTTGTACTATTATTACAGGCAGCAGCCGCCAGTATTGAAATACCAGAGAAATCTTCACTGTCACCAAGCTTTTCATTAATTTCTTCTGGGGTCTTCCCATTAACAATAACTTCACCATCAACAACTTGATCCAAATTAGTTGTGCCAAATTCCATAACCTGCTTCCCAACATCTGAACTACAAGATGACTCCTGTCCTGGAGCATTTTCACTCTTTACAAGTTGCTCAGATTCATCAGTGCATGGAGAAGGTGGCCGGGGGGGTGGTGATGGAGATCGGAACAAAAATCTCCTCTTCTTAATCGGTACATGCTCCACTTTGTCACTGAAGCGGTGCCCAAGAATGGTTACTCCAAGCTGCCAAATAAAACAAGGAATGTGAAAAGACCATGAAAATACATGCAATGCTTACACTGCTAAAGCATTAAAACCGAAAATTTGTAGAATGTAGAAATAACCTTCTCCGATTCAGAAATTGGCATGTCCTCAACCCTTGTGTCCTTATCAATCAATTCTGTGCTTCCCTTCAAGCTTCTAGGAATAGGTTTCCTAGCTCGCCTAGATGCACTCCTGTTACCTTTTGAAACAGTCTTCCAAGACAAGTCAGGATCGATCACACTTGTAAGCTCCAGGCTTGCTGTGCTTAGCATGCTACCAGATTCTGACTTCCTTCCATCAACTAATTTTTTGCCACCACAAAATTTGCAGGATGCTGCTCCAGTTCTCCGTTTTAGCTCAAGAGAAGAGGCTTGACCCCCAGTGCAAGAACAAAAGCGAATCTGCGAGTTAACAAGCATGTAGTCCATTTAGACACTAGGATGATGCATGTATGCACATGTAGTCAGGATTTAAAACAAGGCCAAGTACCCCTCGAAACCAACCATTGATTCAGACCTCTCATTGTCCTTGCTGTTTGGAAAAAAAAACAAAGAACCAGATCACTTCCTAATAACCATAGCAGGATTCTAAGCAACCAAAGACCATGTTGCCTGCAGAAAATATGAGGTTTAGATCATTAGCAGCACCAGACAAAACACAAGAAATAGAACATAGAAGTACAATTATTTAACCAAGTAAACAGCTTCATTAACTAGCCCCAAAACTGATAACAAGACTGCCACTACATGCCTCCAGAGGTCATTACCTGGAGGCAAATCATGTTTATCAGCCTTGAAGGCCTGAATGCAACTCCCTTGATTCACACTGTGGCTTTGTTACATTGCCGAAACCTAAAAGTTGGATTTAGGGCTTCTTCAAAGCCTACTAAAGAGGACAATAAATATCATAATATATCACTTCAACAGCTGAGATTAACTCCCAAAATAGAAAATTGACAAAGGATCTCCCATCCAACATCATTTCCACCATATGACTAGTAGCAAAAGGAAGCAGCAGGACTATTATTACATGGGCAAGTCCAAAACAAGTCAAATGATCTCTCCCAAGCAGCCACATCCAAAACAATAAATAGGCCAATCCATGTACAGAAGAACCTTTTTCTTCATCTAAACAAAAGCTTGAACCCAAATAATTTTATGAACCTCTTCAATGGTTAAAATCAACAAAGCAGCAACTTCAAGAAAATCAATTATACTCTGTTTTCGGTTACTAACAGGGCATGATAAAAACATGACTGGTTTTTTTGCCCTGACCTCAATAACCTTCACCTATGGTCAAAGCCCCAAAAGTCCTCAAGATCTCTGAAGACATAGATGAAGCAACGATAAGCGTTCCCCTTCAGCAGATAAACAGACAGTATAATTATTAGGAAACCTATGTTTAGTACAAACTAGGGGATGGAGTCGGCATACACCCAGTTGGACGAACAGCAGATGATAGATCACGTTGGCCTAATACTATTTTGGGATATGGAAATCAGCGCCCTTGAGTGTTTACTACGTGGTATTCGCATAAGCAGGGCCAAGAGAAGCACGACTAACACCTCCTTCGCCAAGAAGACAAGGAATCCTTATGCGTTCATGGTATAATAGAGAAGGCTCACCTACTCTAGAAAGGTGTGATCAAAGCAAAAGCAAAATAAACGCCACTGCCACAGGGAACCCAGATCCATGACGAAGATCCAGGACGATGGCGTTTCTTCGCACATGATAAAATAATTAGACCAGCCCTCGGCAAATGGGCAGAGGCTCAGTGACATCAATCCCAGAGATTGCAGGCGAAGCAAAAGATGCATAATCCAGGCCAACATGGAGAACGGCGAGTGCCAACAACAAAAGCTACGTTGCTCCATTTCAAGTTGCAGCTTCCTTCGCCGAAACCTAAATTTCCTGCAGGCCGAACCGATCTAGGGCAAAACCCTAACCGTAAAAGCTTCTATCAACAAAAGCACCGCAGCTATCAGTCGATTCTTCGAAACCCTATTATTACTCCCTTGTCCGCTCTGTTTTGGCTTCAACATGTTTCAACTACTTGAGCTGATAATGTACTCTTCTGAACTTAGAAAAACCTGTAAGATCCTGTGAACGATCAAAGCCTTCGCTCTTCGAGCAAGCAGAGCTAGTGATCCAAGGTGCAATCGGCAATCAACAGGGAACAGATCCCTTCCTTTTTTTTCTCAATCGACGAAAAACAACCAAAAAAACATGTAAATCAAGAGCTAGGGTTTGAATACCTGAAATCGATCTTCTGGATCGTATGAAAAACGCGGAGGCGAACGAAACCTACGGCGATGAAACCTGCAATTTACTTCTTCTGCCGAGGGAAGTAGAGAAAAAAGAGAATAGAAAATCCCAACGAAAAAAAAAAATAGACTCGTCGAGAATCTTCAAATCCTGAAAGCGGCGCGGCTACTGATATGAGAAACAACGCTGTCTTCTTCTTCTTCGTTTTCTTCTTCTTCTTTTCTTGTTACTGGACTTAGATTCGACCATTCATGGATGGATTGTTCGCTGAGGTTTCCTTCCACACATTCCTTTTTCAATACGCCAAATCCTTTCCTCCTTTCCTCCTTTCCTCCAATCTTGAATATCTTTTCTTCCCCGGCTGTATCTGTGTATGTTTGAGCGCTTCCTTCCTTTACCACGTATTTGTGGTTTTCCTCGTGACTTAACTATCCTCATATTTCTCTTTATATACCCAAAAACACCCCTTACCTCCCCTAGCGATTAGCGATCTCGTTCTCGAATCGGCTCCACCTCTGCAAGTCAACACCCGCTATGATGGCAAGTGACTTTGTAGTGGACTCCCTTACAAGTTACTAACCTCCGTTCGTGATATGAAGGCACGTGGCGTAACAGAATCAAAATCAGAAGACGCAGGGTCTACCGTTCCACCGTAAACCGCACGATCTACATCCAGGATGAATACACGTATCCATTTTCTTGTTGAGGGGAAGGCCTCCCGTAAGATTTCTCATTGCATCAAGCTAGGCCATCGATGCACACTGCACGGGCGACGGGCCTCAATATTTGGGCTGGCAATTTTCACCCCAACCCATTGACATACCCATTCTCATATGGTTCGAGTGACCCATTAGGATGAGAGGAAAGGAAAAGGGTCAGGGTGGGGTAGGGGTGCATGTGAGTTGGGTTGGGCCGTTTTTATGATCAACCCATGTCCAACCCTAAGATTTGGGCTTAAAGCCCGATTAGGGACCAAGTCCAAGGTCAAGTTTGATCTTCTCAACCCCAGCCTAACTTGTATTGTAATTTGATGCACTCCGGTTGGGCTTGGGCCTAGGTTGGATTGGGTTGGTCAATGAACTATCTCTAAAACTATACATGTATTTCTATATTTTATGTAAATATGTGTATAAATATGTGTGTATATGTAAATACATATTTATATAATTATGTGATGCAACACGATCTGGGCACTCCTACCTGACTGAAACTTGGCTCCTAGCTGTAACAGATGACACCTGAGATGAAGAGGAACGTGAAGGGTTCCCGAGGAGCTCTCCCGGCTGGAACACTCCGATAGCTAAGTTAGAACTCTGAGGAAAACTCAAAGAAGACACGGAGAGTTAAGAGTGTTGAAAATGCTAGCTTCAATACCATTGTTTCGTGAGGGTTGGGATCTTCTTATACCGGAGCTTAGTCACATCAGGCGTAACCACCACTTTTTAGAAGACACTGAGAGTTAAGAGTGCTGAAAGTGCTAGCTTCAATAGCTACAGGGTACGGACTCGTCAGGCGTGCCATGCTTTTCAAAGACGGCAGGCACAACGCCGCCTAGCAAGAGATGTGGGCACTGCCACCAGATCCGGATGTCAGGCGGATCTTCCCTGTAGGCTTCCGAGCTACTTTGTACCGAACCACCTGAGGCTGGGTTGCCTTGCACCGAGGTGCCGAGGTGCTCGCACTGGAAGCGAGCCTTGAGCAAGTACGAACAGGAGTTTCCACGGTGTTGCCTCGAGGTGCTTCTCCCTCAGGACACTTAGCCAAAAGCTGGGGTGCTCCCTTCTTAGGAAGGGAGAGCTCGGGGCCCCTTAGGAGGAGCTTGGGTCCCTTTGCACGGGGGGAGCTCGGGGTGCTCCACCTTCAGGCTAGGGGCGAGCTGGGCCTTGCTTCTCGGCGAGTTGTCACACCCGCCGAGTCGTTTGGTTGGGCCTCAAAGAGCTTGTTATGCCGAGTTGTGGCCAGGCTGTCGTGCTGAGTTGTCGCTTATGCCAGGTCATATACACGTGTCCCCGTGCTACGAGGTCGGGCCAAATCACCCTACATCAATTGCCCCCATGCCCCGTGCTAGGGATTCTGACCCAGCGCGGGGAATCCGCAGTCTGCCGGGTGGATTTGGCTTGGGTCCTAAGCTTTCATATCTGCTAGCTCATCGGTTGGACCGGTTCTCTATTCGACTCTACCAGGCGTAGCTCGGGTCGCGTATGGTCTACGTGCGAACATCACGCGACTTATGGACTCCGCGGACGTCAAAAAACACGCTAAATTGATTTCGCCTCGAAGGTCGCACAACCGATTTTCATAGGGACCGTCAAATCGTTTCGATCTCAACCATTGACGCCCGCATATAGTGGCTATAAATAGTGGGGGTCCTGGCCATTTTCCTTCACCACAAATCCTCAGCCGTAGTTTTGAGCTCGCATCCAAAGCCTCCAGCTCGGGTCAGTTCTTCCCAATCCGGTCCATCTCTTTTCAGTGAGTCACCCTAGCTCTTCTTCGGTTTCGTTGTTATGTCTTCCTTTGATAACCAATTAGATGAACCTGAGGTGCCCGAGGTGGGTACCTCAGCTCAGGGTAACCCTACCAGAGTCCAATTCCCCAAGGCGCGGGAGGCCTTGGGTAACTTGACGTCCACCTCTCACCGAGGTCGGATGCCGGACAGGTTCGGACCTTCCACCATGACCCTGGAGAGGCTCCGCCACCTTATTCAGCAGTACAACCTGCCCAGGGAGTACACCTATAGTATACCTCGGATAACTTCCCATGGGAGCACGACCCTGATGAGGTCGTAATCTTGCGGGAACAGCTCATAGCCGGGCTACGCCTTCCCTTTCATCCACTCATAGTGGAGGTCCTGAACCACTTCAATGTTACGATAAACCAGCTTCACCGGAACTCGGTCCGTAACATGGTCGAGACCATCTCCCTCTGCTACGAGCATGTCCTCCCCCTTAACTTGGACATATTTTGTTCTATCCTCACCATCAAGAAGAGCGCTTCATGCGTTCTCCCCGAGCGCAGGAGGGCTTACTACTTGTCCCCCCGCCCCGGACTTTAAGTTGATGCATAAGCTTCCTAGCAAGATCCCAGCCTGGAAGTAGGACTACTTCGTAGTCCGGAACCCTGTGGGGTGGCCCTTCCCTACTCATTGGAGGGCGGCTATCCAAGACCCCAGCATCATCCTCGACAAGAAGACCAGGGAGACATTCTAGTCGTGGGCTGAGGTCGGTTGTAGTTACAAGGATTACATCACCGGGAGTATGCTCATCCAGGCTGGCTTGAGCCCGGGTAGGTAGTTAGTACCTTAGTTGTTTGGCCTGCTCCTTTCTTTTACTCGAGTACTAACGCTGAGCTCTGTTGCAGGTCCCATGGAGGCAGATAAGCTTAAGGGAGATCGGCTCTTCAAGCACATGAAGGGAAGGAAGAAGCGGGCTGCTAAGAGAGCTCGTATCGAGTCACCGCCAGCCCCCACTCCCGAGCCCAAGCTTCCACCGGCTCCAACTTCCAAGCCCGAGCTCCCTGGCGCTCCTCCGATCATTGACTTGGAGAAAACCATACCACCTCGGGAGCCCGAGACCTCGACCGAGCCCGCTACGAGGGCAGCAACTGAGCCCGAGGTTGCCACCGGAGCCGCTGGCGTAGCGGCTGAGGTCTCCGTCGAGCCCATTCATACAGCCAAGACGGTTGTCTCCAGCCGAAGTGTCTTGGTCCCCTAGTGCAGTCTTCGGAAGAGCAAGGGGGTTGTTTACTCTGAGGAAATTTCGGTCTGGGCCGATATGCTCAACCCTGCTCAGCTCGAAGCCCGGGCTGCCACCCACACTATGGTGGTAAGTTCTCTTTTCTTTCTTTTCTTTTTTTATATATATGTTTCTTCGGTACTAACTAACTTCCTTTGTCAGGCGAACTCCGCCGTTCACGCCCTTGCTCTTCAGTCCGAGAGGAACCTGAAGCGGGCTCTGACCACTGAGGAGTCTTCCTGTGCTACCCATACGGACCTGAGGGCAGCTCGTGAGCAAATCCACCGGTTGGAGAGCGGCGCTTGGACCCAGAGGGACATTATTACGACACTGACGGCAGAGAAGGACGAGCTAGCATGCGAGAAAATGTGCTGAGGGGCGAGGTGGAGGCCCTCAAAGCGGAGCTGGTACACGAGAAGGGTGTGTTGAGGGGCGAGCTAGACGCCCTCAGAGAAGAGGCGGAAGGCCTTAAGGAGAGTAAGAAGGCCCTCTTGCACGAGGTGGAGTTCCTCAAGGCGGACATCGAAGAGAAGACCGAGATCTTGACTCAAGCGGTAGAGGAGACGAAGATCAAGGCTGTCGCGGAGTACATCCAATCCGATAAATTTGATGCCGTTCTG